CATTGGCACAGGATACCCTGTGAATGGTTTACTCAGTTCTTGTTGTGGGCATACACACATGAAGAAAAGGGAAATCAAACTGTATTGCCGGAACTTTGCGCTTCACGCACAAGCAATCGTCCCACGGTACGGCATACAACGGCCAACTCGCTCCAAGTGGGCAGCGGACACATGTGAAGTGTGTGATTGCATAAGAAGCTGGGATAGGATAAGAAAAGTGACAAATACATATGCCTACTCCACTTCCACAAGTCTTTCAGGTAGAACCTGTCGCAGGTACTCAGAAATAGTTTTGTCTAGCGCTGGGCAGTCAGTTCAGAAATATGATCCGAATTCTGCCAAGTGATCGGAAGATACAGACAATTAGAGCAGTTTAGAAATACTTTAGAAGTAGATACTGGATTACTTGATCCATTGCAACTCAGTTTAACTCCCTGAGAAGACCACGATTTTCCGAATATCGCCTTGAATTGCCGAATCCCGCAAGGAACAAAGCTTTTTACTGTGGATCTACATCTCACACGTTTGAAGGCGTCGTCGTCATCATCATCACTAAACACATACCTAGACCTGGTGAGGAAGACTCAGGTATGGACGTGCAGTCTGCCATGATTGCAGTGTTGTGTGTACTGGTGATGCTATGCATGGCAAGTGGAAGAGCTGAACCTGATCCGTTACCTGAACCCCTAACAGCTATGTCTGCAGAACCAAGCTCTACCCTTCTATTGTACAACGTTGATAAATACCCTGAGGTAGGTGACCCTCTCAGGCCAGCATTCACACCGAAGGTGACTGTGTTTATCAAGGACAATGTTCACAATGACCCCAAGGAAATGATTGTAACCTTTGGCCTCCCTCACGCTGATAACTCCAACTGCTCTATTGTCGGTGCATATCTTGACACAAACACCAAGCTTAAAAGTTGGAAGAAGAAAACTTTCTTCATTCATTCCAGCCGCGATCAGATAAAATGCCAATGCAAACGGTCAATTCAGCCAGGCGTAACGGCATCACCGGACAGACGCAAGTTGATTTTCTATGGTTTCGGGGCAGCTGCGTGTGCGAAGTTCATTGTTCTTTACGATGGTACTACCGCGACAACCAGTGTGCTGTCTGTAGTTGGTGTGAACGTCCCATGGGCATTTTCACCAGGTCTGGTCACTGTACGAACCAGGACGTCATCAACAATATTCACACTCCTATCCTATGGCGGATCACATTGCGATAACGCAAGCAACAGTGAATGTCTCCGCTTCTCCACGGGCATCTTCCGACTAACTATCGATACATTAAAAACATCAGCACCTGTGCGATGGGAAGGATCATCACCAAAGTCCAAACATAGTCCATGTCCAAGTCACAGATCTAACCCTACTCTTATCAATCTCAACGATTCACACCTGTTGCTCTATGGTGGAGTGGAATCTGTTTCCAACTTCACTGAGCTACGACTATTGAACGACTTCTGGATCTACAATATTCATAAGGATGTCTGGCTTGAAGTTTCATCTGATTCTCTACCCAATGACACATCATTGAGTCGTCCAGATATGATGTCGTCTTATTACACTGAAAGAGAGGCTGCTTATCTCAGTGAATACAGAACACTGATTGTTGTGGTAAGTGTGGCATACGGTCCTTTACAACTGTATCTGTGTACGCTGCCAATAGGAGCAGAACGCCACATTCACTGCGAATTGAAAGGAGATGTGCAAGGTGTAAAAGCTTTCTTCCCAACTATCATGTTCTATTTTTCGCTTTGTTCGGGCGCTGTCGACAAGTTCTTCATCGTGTTTTACAATACGGAAACAACGAAAACGTTTACTGTCGGCAAGGAGATACATCCCGCGAGAAATACGTCACAGCTGATGATCACACCTGTGTATACCAAAAATATAAGAATACAATTCCCGGGTTTTCAGGGATGCATCACCAGTGCTCCTGTGGCTCGTTCGGGTCGCCAAGGCAGCACCAACCGCTTCTTATTTGTGGGTGGAACGTGCTACGACACAGCATCGCGAGAGGATGAAAGGTTTTCGAGGCCTTCTAGCAAGTATTCAGGCGTTGTTTGGAACCTAGGGCTAGGGGTGGTTTATTCTCGAATCTCTGCCAGTCAAGTGTCTCCGAGCCCTGATCTGACGAGACACTCCTCCCACACACTCACTTCACTTGGTGAATCCATAGCGGTACTCTACGGAGGATTCTATGGGGTGACTGGTACCTTCACATATACTAATATGACTTGGTGCATGCTAACCCATTACGACCCCTTGGCTCAAGACTTCTCTGTCTCCTGGCAACGCTTCGTCACACCTACATCCCAGTCCATGCCATTACCACGAGGTGGCCACGTGGCATTTCCGTACAAGCCAGATGGCATGATAATCCAAGGCGGAAGTGTCGGGTCAGAGAGAATTTTCGGAGATTTATGGATTTTAAAGATCACAAGCCAGCGATCATGCACTGGAGAATGGATTGAACTCACTAAGAATGTTGTTGGGGAACGACTTCCCCAATGCTCACAACATTCTGCGACACTCTACAACGATGACGTCATTATGTTTGGTGGGTATTGCATAGATAATGATAATTCGACAGGAAGTGGTGCTGGTGAAACATCCCTACAAATGACAGATCATCTGTTGGTTATTACTATCAAGAACCTGTCTTTCATATCACTTAAACGCATCACTTTGTCACGTCCAATTTATATGCGCACGAGCCATTCCCTTTCACGTTACACAAATGATTCCTTCTTGCTCCTCGGCGGATTGGCGTACTCAAATGATGGGGAACACACAGCAATAGAAGCACTCCTATTACAATTCATCGCAGACACCACAGTTAAGGTCATTCCATATTTCAACTTCACCATTTTCAACCATCATGTTATCAGGGAATATATCTTCTCAGGTTTCAGAAATTGGGCGCCCGCCGAGTCACTGAACTTCCTACGACTGCAGAAAGGCCACTATTGTCCTGTTGCCTACGAGCGAACTGAGTACGATTCCTGTCAGCCATGCCCTCAAGGGTACCACTCGGCCACCATTCCACAGCAATGCAAGAAATGCCCAGGTGATTCGAGGACGTCAGGCCCTGGGGCCGCAGAGTGTACGACGATATGCACTGACAGCTTCTGTCACGGCCATGGTGAATGTTTGGTGGACCAGGGGAACAAGATGAATTGCAAGTGAAAATTTGGATACCTTCCTGATGATAACTGTCGGACACCAACCGTTTACCTCTCTCAGTTGGCAGCCGTTATTTTCTCTTCCGTACTTGTTTTACTTATTGTATTCCTAGTGAAGTTTACCAGAAAACGCCGCGACTTGCGCAAAACGGAGAGGGAGCTCCAGGCCAAACACCACGATCTGCGAATTACTCAGAAAAAACTTGCAGAATTGAACCGAGGAGCGCGACTTCGATGGATAGACTTGACCATTGGCAAGCGAATTGCTTCTGGTACAATCAGCAAGGTGTATCGTGCCCAACTGAGTGATATGGAAGTGGTAGTAAAGAAACTTCCCAAGCGCTTCAACCAAACAAGATGGCGTAGTTCACCGTATGATGTATTTCTGGAGGAGGCCGAAACCCTGCGATCCTTACGCCATATGAACGTAGTCATCTTCCTCGGTGCTGGTCAGGACAATGCAGACGGTTGCCCATTCTTGGTGATGGAGTACTTGCGGCGAGGCTCACTCTACGATAATCTGCATGATCCGAAAGTTTACATAGAACCAAACGATCAACTGCGATTTGCTCTGGACATCGCTCGTGGTATGCGATATCTGCATAGCTCCAGTCCCCCACAGATTCACCGTGATCTAAAGAGTTCAAACCTATTGGTCAGTGACAAGTGGGTGGTGAAAATCGGAGACTTGGAGTTCACCAGATACCTTTCTCTTGTGGAACGTGACGACCAGGCACAACCAAGCCAGGATGACCATACTGCAGCTGAACGGAATGCTACATCGGACAACACTACAGTTGCAGATGGCACGACAGCTATTGGGGAAGGGGAGAGATTGCCCAAAACACCCAGCATAATGACGTCCACAGACACGTCGGACTCGAGCGACGCGGATGACGTCACAATCCCGCTCCTGCACAATGTGAAGCCCTCGCCATCTGCACAACTGATAAACACCAGTACGACTAGCCACCAAGACGTATCTCGTGAAGGAGGAGACACAGAGAGCAGGTCACGTGACCGTTTCACGGCCTCACAGCTACCTTCACGTGTTGGCATGACGTGTGGTGTAGGGACGGACAGGTGGAGGGCTCCGGAGACGCTCAGCAAAAACAGCTACACGGAAAAATCTGACGTGTACAGGTAAGCATTGGGCCGGTTGTGTGTTATGCTGTCTAATGTTTCTTCTAGTTAAACTGGATATTTTTAAACTGAATTCCCGAATGCTCCACCCGTACACATCCATATCCCACGCATCACAGCAAGCTCTCAGCTCCTTGAATCGTAGTTTAGACCGTATTGTCCACTGGTCTTGCCAGTATCGTCATCGACATGCATGACCATCCGCCTACGTCCTTCACAGCTGAGACTTTCAGCTCGTGCTGATATTGGTTGCACTCACCTTCCCCTGCTTATGTTATTTCTATAACTTAGAACCTTCCAAGTTGGAAGGCTGTTGGAGTGCCGCGCATCCAAGATGTGTTAAAGCTGCTAGCCAGTTAGTTGTAGAACGTCAGTACCGTTGGTCAGTGTCGTGCAATGTTATCGCATGAGCTGATTGTTTAGTAACTGGTGGTGTTAGTGGACATTATAGCGTAACTTGTAGTTCCTTGGTCCTTTTTTCTTCCATAAATTAATCCTCGGCCAAAAGAAGAGAAAACTATCTCCGCATACCATATTATCTCTAATATATGCACGGTCCTTTATTTTTCAATGTACATGTACCTCCGCCCCGTGCTATTAATGGAGACGTTCCTTTATTGGAGACTGTTCCATTATTATTTCAACCTCATTTCAGAGGCATGTTGCCATGCCAAACTAATGTCAGACATACCCCTTTTCAGGGTTTTTTTGCCGGTACAGATAATGAATTTACACAGTGTGCTTATAATGGAGACTGAACACTTTATTTTTTGAATGCCGCCCCAAGGTGTTCTATTATTGGAGACTGTGTTAGAGATAATACGGTACGTATCACACTGTTGGAATGCTTATTGATAATGATATTGTTGTGTCACGTGATGCAGTAGCTGAATAATCCATGAAGATATGGGTCGATATCCTGTAACGATCCTGTGAAAATTTAGGAGTCACGTGACCTGTCATCGACTGTTGTCTTGCGCTTTCGGGTCTCCATGGCTACAAGGAGCTTCTTTGTGTGCATGTGTGCGGAAACTCGTTTGTACTTTTGCTTTTGGAAAATGATTTCTCATCCATCTTTAGGGAATCCATGAAAAAGATGAATATAATGTGTGAATATTTTCTCTTTTGCCGGGCTGCAGCTTCGGTGTAGTCCTGTGGGAGATCACCACACGTCAACTTCCCTACGCACACCTGACCTGCTCGGAGTACATCCATCAAGAGATCCTGGATGGCAATACGCCAGTCTTCCCTCCTACCACTCCCTACCCGTACCGTCACTTGGCTGAGAAATGCATGAGCGATGTAGCACGTGACCGGCCATCCTTCCAGAAGATTGTTCAAGAGATCGAAGCTTTGCAAGTCTTGGATGGCCAGAGTATAATGTAGTGTCAAGTTCTCATCATTTTATGTTCTCTTTTGGTGCTATTCGAGATCGCTCACACCCCCAGCCTGTTTCACTGTTATAACGTATTGACGCTGGTAAACGCGTCCGTGCAGGTATTTTGTACAATATTAATATTAAATTTTGAATAGAGCGCTTCCAACGAGAATAGGTGAATTCATGTTTGTTTCCAAATTCTTTTAAAATGTTCTGCTACTCCATCTTTCAACAGTTTCTTGAATGTAGTGTGAGGGATAAGTTGTTTCTTCTTTGTTTTGTTTATTGTGTGATGCGTATTGCAGTGCCGTCATGACCCTCGGAATAGTAATCTCTTGGGTGTTATTCTGCCCATTGATCAACTGTGGTTTTAACGTTAGTTGCTGCCAATTGTTTCCGAATCATCCCGTAGTTGCTGCCAAATTGATTCTATCTCTATTGTCTCGACATTTTAACTGCAAATTGTAGCAGCCTGGTCTCTCTGCTGGTATGCTGGTACAAGTGTACATTACACAGCTTTTCTTTGATGCTATCAGCTCTTCCACTGAACATGCAGTCATGTGAAGATTGCATTGAGCGTATGAGGGTATATGAGCTAAACTGTAGCTGTGATGATATCTGTTGTAGGAGTACAGTAGTCTGCACGGTGCACGCATCCAGTAGGCACGTGCCCTCACTATGCACGCACGCACACACCTTTTATGTGCTTCTTTATACACTGCTGTGGACGGAAAATAAAGGGTTCTTCTTGAAAACACAACAATATCTACCCCAGTTGTGCATTGCTTTGAAATCATGAATGTTTCTGCTTGCAACTCTGCAGTAGACATGAGCCATCCATCGTGTGCAATGTTCATTGTTCATCGAAAATGTAGAATTTTTGTTGTTGAGCTGTTGAGTATCGATCATGTACCATCCTACATCCACATTGTTGTTGAACTTCTAACCAAAGCCGCATGATTGCCCGCATCACAAGCAAACAACTACAATGTTTGCCTTTAAAGATTTACATACGGACATAATTACAAATCCGAGGCAATCATGTCTGATGATTGCCTTACGGCATGAAACTCAGAGTTACAACCAACCTGAACGTCCTCCGCTGAGTCTGCTATGTACTGACATAATTATGTGTGTGTATGAAGGTGCGGAGTGTGCACGCACATGTGTTTAGCTTCCAATGCAAAATGCTGAGTGACAATTTTCTTGGACACTTGACAACATTGTCCTTCTGGAGGGCCAGAGCGCTGCTGAAAACTCTGTCATGTTTTCACCATGTCAGCATGTTTCTCTACCAACCGGTTTTATATAATATGGTTGCAGTCAGAAACACTTTTTTCCGTACACAACATAGTGACCTCCGCCTAGCTTGTAACATGCTGTCATCATGAAAACAAGACAGTTCCAGTGTACGTCAAAGCAGTCCGGCACACGAACGTACCTGTGTTCTGATGAGAAAACAAGTGCTGGCAGCAGTAGCCCACTCTCGACTCCGCTACTGAGTAGATCTGCTGGTGCTAGCCTTGAACGTGCGTAGCTGTAGAACAGCGTTACTCCTTTGCTTCGCCATGAGACACTCTCCTCCCTGGCGCAGAACTACATATAGCGCAGTAGCTGCTTACTGTACGTAGCTACGCCATGACAAGTCGACGGCCAGGTTTAGCTGTGCTGTCGATATCATAATGACTGAGTCGTCAAAATTTAATAGCTGTGTTCATCAGGAGGACCACGAAGTGCACGCTGCCTATGAGTATGAGAGTTGTCCAGGGGCTTCAGCGACGATACGCATGGGTCACTCTCGGGGCACAAAGAACTATTGACAGTACTACTAAGCCGTTGTTGCCGGAAACTAACACCTGCGCCTCTGGCACACTCTGCGACTCTGGCACAAAAACGAGTTGAAGCTGTCCAGAGCTTTTACTAGACACTAATTTACCGCGAGGAACACAAGTACCGTTTAGTGCTTCTTCAACATGGCCACTTTCTAACTATTGGTCCTGTACTAGTTTGGAGAAGAAAGGACAAGTAAAATGCGGCGAAGCACTCAAGTTAGAATATTCTCCTCCGCAGCAGACGACCAAGCAATGGAAACAGGAAGCCATTTCATTGTAATGTTGTGCCACAGCAAGCAGCATGCTAGCACCACGTCAACCTAATGTAGCTAACGCTACTTTACACGAATGCTAGCTAGGACTAGGCCAGTGGGTGACTTGTTTCTTTCTGGACCTCCAAAGCTGACTATCGAGTGTCGTTAGTACGAGTACCGGTACATGTAGATCTGCGACTGTTGTGTAACAGGAACTGAGGAAGTCGTGAAAGCTCACACTCACAGCTACATCAGTACAGTCATGTAGATTTCACCTTATTATTTTTGCTGCTGCCGACAGTATAAGCAAGGAGTAGTAAAATAAAAAAGAGAAAAGGACATATGGATACGAGTTAAGAGTAACTCTCCATCACTGTAACATGATACTATATACAGTCAGAAAGTGCAATAACTAGGCACAAAACTGACAGAGTACTGAGACATTCGACGTCCTGACAACTAACTTCAACACATCTCCGTAGCGCTAACCGACAGCCTTCCAACTTGGAAGGTTCAAGGTTATGGAAAGACCAAAGAGGGGAAGGCAAGCGCAACGAAAACGAGCAAAAGCTATAGTCCCAACGGAACAAAGAATGTCGATTGTTACTGGACGATGACGAGACCAGTACGATATTTGACAAAGCGGTCTAACTTCAATTCGAAGCAGCAAAGCAGCACACCACCCAACTTGGGTGGGTCATAAATATCAAAGATAAGTAAAGAAAGGGAAGCTTTGCGAAAACGAATTGTACAAGCCGAAAGCCAAACTCCTACAGTACTCCTCATGCATGACATTGTGATGGACTAGTTGACTACAAAACAAGAAGGCTGTCGGTTAGCGCTACGGAGATGTGTTGAAGTTAGTTGTCAGGACGTCGAATGTCTCAGTACTCTGTCAGTTTTGTGCCTAGTTGTTGCACTTTCTGACTGTATAATTATAGTATCATGTTACAGTGATGGAGAGTTACTCTTAACTCGTATCCATATGTCCTTTTCTCTTTTACATTTATTTATGGCTCAACATCCGAGTATCAAATTGCACACCTGATGAGCCGTCACGAACCATACGGCGAAACGTACGTCGTGTGAAACAACTTGTTTTTTCCTTGTATTTGTAACATACTGTCAACCAAACAACATGTACCAGTTACGTGTAGTTCTATTGGTGGGTGGACTAATGGCAGATACTGGTTACAAGGTTACAAGGTTTGTTGCCATCTCGGCATCAGATTCAACGGCTTCAAGGACTGAGGTGTATTGTTTCCGATCACCTCGGTAGTTTTCGGGGTACCTGTTTTTTTTCTATTCGAAGCATGACTCACACTGTGTGCTGGTCGTGAACAAAGCTTCTTATACATGTACTTTTAGTTTTAGCTTATCTTCTTTTAGTAATAAATAATGCACGTAGGGAGCAACACATACCGTATTTTCCGGGGTATAAGCCGCACTTTTTTTCGCTAAAAATCGGACCAAAATCGCCCCTGCGGCTTATACACCGAATATGCTTGCGCGAATGAATGCTTAGCATACATCAGTATGCATGCTGACGTCATGTGACATGTCATTCGACTCAGCTTCGCGCCTGTGTTGCTATCCCGGCACTTTTACTAGTTTTAGTGCGTGGGCTACACCATACGGTACGCGTATACGGGAACTCTATTTTTCATAATCTGATCTAACATGGTATTTAGCTCCATAACCATAATAAATTTGTAGAAAGGCCATTTGTCAATGAGTGTGAAAAATCTAGGTTTGTGGGTGCGGCTTATACTCCGAATACCAACTTTTAGTCAATATTTTGCCTCAAAAAGGGGGGTGCGGCTTATACCCCGGTGCGGCTTATACCCCGGAAAATACGGTAATTCCCCAAGTATCGCCGAAGTAGCACCAATCTCTTCTTCACATTGTTGTCCCCAGCACGGGCTTGCGAATTGGCTGGCTTGGAGGCAACACCGTTGTGAATGGTCAACGGTTCTCAGCCGGGTTTGTTCAGCACCTCCATGAGCGACACTGACTCATGCTGCTATCTGGTGTTCACAAGGTGTTTGTCGCGCTGGAAACTTAGCGTCTCTGTAAGTATGTATAGCTGGTGATGATTTGGTCTGGAGAGCACTATACAAGTCGTGCTCTTCAATACAATTTTCCTCACCCTACTCAGGCTCAACTGATGAGAGGTGAATTCCCAGAAACACTTTGTATTGAGCAGGGAGTGGTGCTTTCTTGCAGGTTTGCCGAGTGAAAGTTTCGATGGACTTCTCGAGTGCTCTGGATGGCAGTCGTGAGTCAGTCAAGTGAGAATTCAAGTCGGCAGGAAAAGCGCGAGCTCCCATGTAGGGAGCAACACACAATTCCCCAAGCATTGCCGAAGTCGCACCAACCTCTTCTTCAAATAATAATACTGCACCCATATTCATATGAAAAAAACTCAAATGAGGGTCATGCACTTGTCGACAACGTCGAGCCAGTGCGTTCTGTCTGATGCAAGTTGCTCCGTTTCCAAAAGAGAGACATGTTGAGAAGTAAAAAGTCATTCCTAATGTTGTCTACCCATCTGGTCATTGGACGACCTCTGGCATTCTTTATATCTGTTGTATTTATTGCCATGTGAAGGGCTTTAGCCTTTGGAGGACACAGCGACCCTCCCTTCGCGAATGACATGTATTTTCCTTTCCCCTGTGTGTTTTCTTCTGTTATTTTTGTCCTACCATGGGTTTCATGGACTCTTAGTACTATCCTATAATTATGCCAGCGCCACTCAACTAATTTTTAAAGTTTTGGTAAATTGGTTATCGCAGTAGAGACCGTTCACCATTCAACACGTTCTTCACACTTCCTCTGTAACTTCGCACTGCAGCATTTATGTTACAATGTTCGTCTATAGACAACAGGAAATGTGCTGATGCACGCTCTGGAATAGACAAGATCAGATGCTAACAGTTGGTATGCGTTGTAGGCCATTCATTCCTGGCACAAGGATGCAGAAATCGTGCACGCACAAGTGACTTTAGAGACTACATAGGCACAGGATACACTGTGAATGGTTTACTCAGTTCTTGTCGTGGGCATACACACACATGAAGAAAAGGGAAATCAAACTGTATTGCCGGAACTTTGCACTTCACGCACAAGCAGTCGTCCCACGGTACGACATACAACGGACAACTCGCTCCAAGTGGCCAGCGGACACATGTGCAGTGATTGCATAGGAAGCTGGGATAGGATAAGAAAAGTGACAAATACAAATGCCTACTCCACTTCCACAAGTCTGTCAGGTAGAACCTGTCGCAGGTAGTCAGAAATAGTTTTGCGTCTAGCGATGGGCAGTCAGTTCAGAAATAATGATCTTACATCTCCGCAGTGACCTGAAGATACAGACAATTAGAGTAGTTTAGAAGAAATGCTTCAGAAGTAGATACTGGATTCCGTGATCCATTGCAACTCAGTTTAACTCCCTGAGAAGACTACAATTTTCCGAACATCTTGAATTGCCAATCTCGCAAGGAACAAAGGTATTTTGTTTACAGTGGATCTACATCTGACACGTTTGACAGCGTCATCATCATTATCATCATCACTAAACACATACCTAGACCTGGTGAGGAAGACTCAGGTATGGACGTGCATGCAGTCTGCCATGATTGCAGTGTTGTGTGTACTGGTGATGCTATGCAAAGTGGAAGAGCTGAACCTGATCCATTACCTGAACCCCTAACAGCTATGTCTGCAGAACCAAGCACTACCCTTCTATTGTACAACATGAACAGGAGAGGTAAACCACTCAGGCCTGCATTCACACCAAAAGTGACTGTGTTTATCAAGGACAATGTTCACAATGACCCCAAGGAAATGATTGTAACCTTTGGCCTCCCTCACGCTGATAACTCCAACTGCTCTATTGTCGGTGCATATCTTGACACAAACAACAAGCTTAAAAGTTGGAAGGAGAAAACTTTCTTCATTCATTCCAGCCGCGATCAGGAGAGATGCAAATGCAAACGGTGAATTCAGCCAGGCGTAACGGCATCACCGGACAGACGAAAGTAATTACAGTCAAACCTCTTTAGGACGAACATCAAGGGACCGATGATATTTGTTCGCAATAACGGGAGTTCTTCTTATCCGTATGCTATACTCAGTGAATACATAGTGATTTATCCAATGGAGTTACGAATACTAGTTCTTATTTTAAGCAAACATTTGTCTTATCAGTGTTCTTCTTAACGAGGTTTCTCTGTAGTTGATTTTCTATGGTTTTGGGGCAGCTGAGTGTGCGAAGTTGTGTTTGTGAATAAAAGTAAAAAAACAACAACAACAACACACACACACACACACACATACACACACACACACACACACACACACACACACACATACACACACACATGTACACATGTGCGGTAACATGCGCGCTCATGCGGATATCCGAGGCGTCACCAAACTGGCTGCCTTCAAGTCAAGCGCTTTGCAACACATTCTTGCCTGCTTTTAGCTTTACGCCCATGTTTCTGTAGCTGTGCTGGAACTGCTCTATTTCGCCTTCAAGCCTAAAACCAAGCAAGAATGTGTTGCAAAGCGCTTGACTTGAAGGCGAAATAGAGCAGTTCCAGAACAGCTACAGAAACATGGGCGTAAAGCTAAAAGCAGGCAAGAATGTGTTGCAAAGCGCTTGACTTGAAGGCGGCCAGTTTGGTGACGCCTCGGATATCCGCATGAGCGCGCAAGTTTACGCACATGTGTACATGTGTGTGTGTGTGTGTGTGTGTATGTGCGTGTGTGTGTGTGTGGGGGGGGGGTGTTGTTGTTGTTGTTGTTGTTTTTTAAAACTTTTATTCACAAACCCAACTGGTAAAATAAATAATTATGTGGACAAAAACAAACAGGTACTGAGTAGGGGCTGCACTGGGCAGCAGTGATGGTGAGGTTCCAGGGCAGGGGCTCCAACGACCAAAGGTCTCGGCTTCAATGCCACAAGCACGCACCAGGAAAAAGAAACAGAAATGTAAAGCGAAGCTAGATCTAGCTATGGGGAAGTAGAATGGGTAAAAGTACCGGTTGGTGTTTAGAAAAATAAAAACAAGATAAAAAGAGATCGTAAATTATCAGTGTTTGGACTGATGTACCATGTACATGTCAATTCCATCAACCAAAACGTATGAACTTTTTCAATAGATCTGATACGAAACTCGCACAAAGAAGTGTAAAACAAAAAAGCTAAAACAGAAAATAATAATTTTAATATAGCTATGAATAGGATGAAGGCCGCAGACATCACGCAACTACGTTACTTGTTCGACATGTATTTACTGTGTATTTTATAACAAAAATATTATTGAAAACCCATAATTGATTTTCTTGTTCCTATCATCAGTGGGAAAAATACGGAACTAAGGATACAACCAAAGAAACTGAATTTAAGTACTGTAAATAGAAATGTGTTAGAAATAACAACAAAATACAAGTGCAATAAAACCACTAGAGGAAACGCAAAAAGGTTATGTCCAACATGTCCAACAGTTGAAAGTCCTTGAGGCAGTCTGTATACGTATTCATAAGCCTGTTTTGTGTAAGCAGAAGGAGCACGTTGTTGCACTGAAGTTGTATTCGTAGGTTGACACTTCATTTAGCGCCTTCTCGCCTTTGGTTACGTAATCTTGTTACCTTTTTGTTTTTGCGTTTCCTCTAGTGGTTTTATTGCACTTGTATTTTGTTGTTATTTCTAACACATTTCTATTTACAGTACTTAACTTCAGTTTCTTTGGTTGTATCCTTAGTTCCGTATTTTTCCCACTGATGATAGGAACAAGAAAATCGATTATGGGTTTTCAATAATATTTTTGTTATAAAATACACAGTAAATACATGTCGAACAAGTAACGTAGTTGCGTGATGTCTGCGGCCTTCATCCTATTCATAGCTATATTAAAATTATTATCTCCACGTAGATTATTTAGAAAATAATAAGGCACCCATTTTGATAGTCCACGCCTGGTTATAGGGCAGTTCTGTAGTTTCCACACCATGTACCAGCCAGCCTCGAGGAAGACCAAACAGTTCTCAGTTTTAGTTTTGTGGTCATCATTATTTTCGCTTTTGCAGGTGAAGAATATTACGCCCTGCGATGGAAGCACGCGTGCTTCGGCTCTTCCTTTTGCTTTTGTGGCGTGGCCTTGGGCAATTGCTTCCCGATCCACATTGGAAGCGTAAATCTGGCACCAAATCCGCAACAGGCAAGCCTCGGCCTCATTATCAAACGTTTTCGTCATGGTGAAGGTGAAGGTACGAACAAAGGCACCGGTATGAAAAGAAAAGAACGGAACCTCTATGTCAAAGTCGAAGAGAACGGAACGGAAGAAGAAAATTCTTTTGACAGATGCAGCTAGCAGGTTGCATGCTCACTTTAACTAGTTTAAAGGGGAAGTCCGGTGAAAAATTTAAATTTCAGGGTTGGTAGAGTTTCGGGCGCTGAGTCGAATGGTGTTGGTCCCACGTGTCTCCGACAAAGCGTTCTCGAGATATTTCCGTTTGAAAAACTGAGTTTCGGGGGCTGCGCCATGACGTCATGCGGCCGCGCCACACCCTCTGCAACGTCATAGCGTGCAGCTAGGTCAAAAGGAGTGCGTGAAAGCAATAGTGTCAGTGCTATTTCAAATGATTTGGCGACTGATATTAGGTGGTGCAAGCGACCCCGAAGACCTGTAACTCCTTGTGAGAGTGAGGATGCAGCCATGGCTGACCTTCATGAGTTCGGTCTGGGGCTGAGAACCTCGGTATTCAGCTGAAGAAATGGCCGCGCGGGCCCGTCAAGAGTTACTGAGTTTCCGACTGATGAAGAAGCAGCAGCTATTGCAGACGAGGCTGATGAATTATCAGATCGCTGGAGAGCAGGGTCGCCAAAATGGAGAAGAGTGATGCGAGTGCTCTAAATGTTGTTCCATACCGATTAGATTCGCTTAGACTCCAGTGGCCTGCCACATGGTGATGTTTTGGTGCGAACTTGGAATATTTCGGACTACTCATTTGGAGAACAGTGCAGGCTCTTTGAACCACGAGCACGACTCTTCGCTCGCAACGCTATGGAATCTGACAGTTCTAGGTCCGGGAGCTGTTCCCTGTTTTGTCACTTGTCACGGTTGTGCACTCATCGCTGTAGCATAAAATAATGAGGCAGGAGCGGAAAACTAAAATTTTCTTTCTCAAAGCACAATCACCGGCACCGGCAAGGAGAAACGCACGTTCTCTGACTACATGACTGTACAATACGACTGATACGAGTGTAGTACATGACAAGTCCGTGTGTTGACTAGTTTTCTGAGTCTTGTGTCAGTTGTGACTCGAGTCTTGTTGTAGATACTACCGGTACCCAGCACGGCAGTGCGGGAGTAGTTCCGTCTGTGATGAGTTTGTTGACTGCACCACAGCTAGATAACACACTGCACGCACTGCATGCACGCAGCGCACAGCGCGCGTAGAGGCTGACGGAAAAAGTCCAACTCGGAAACGGCTAAAATATGGTATAACCTCGAAGTTTACCGAGCTGAAAATCACAGGGTATGTAGTGTTTGTAACACTGAATCGAATGGTCTTGGTCCGAAGAAGCTGCGACAAACAGTTCCCCAATCGAACGCGCTCCGAATATGGCCATTTTTGTACACAACTAGATGGTGTGGCTACCTGGCTGCACGCTGTGACGTCATCACCTGGATCTGGGTGATGCGCGCTCAAATTCGCACATGTTCGATTGGGCGTATCTGACGAACCATAAGCCGCAGCCTCCTCGGACAAAGACCATTCGACTCAGCGACTCGAACTCTACGGACTGTGAAATTTAAATTTTTCACCGGACTTCCCCTTTAAATTTCCCCGCCAAGATCTCTGCGCATGCGGTTAGGCCAGACAAGAGTTCAAGACGACAAAAAAGACGAAGACGTGGCCGAAGACTCTGCCCATAGGGCCGCGTCTGCGTTTTGAAGTCTTCAGCTCACGTTTTGGGGATTCCCGGGATCGCCTAGGCAACGAAGACGAAGACGCGAATAAAGACGTGAGTGTGAAACGCCTATAAAAGAATAAACAGAGAAAAGAAAAGAATCATAACAAGTTTTTTCATGTATGCAAAACACAGCTGAGCACTCTGAGCAAGGCCAGGTACGCGGATTAGCGGGTCCGGCTAGCTCGAAAAATTACAGGGAATCTGTTGCCCAGTACCAGTTGCTGTCTCTCAGGTGTCGGTAAACCTTTGTCTTGAATGACTGAAAACGTATTTTGTGTGGGCGCTGCGACAGCAGCCTGTCGGGAAGGGAGTTCCACGCGCCAATACAGCAGTACGGGAACGACCACTTCACGACGGTTGGAGCTGAGACAGGGAGCGTGTCTGACAGTTGATAGGCGTGGCTAGTGGCATTATTGTGCTCGTTCCTGGTTCTGGGGTTGGCTGGAGAAACGCGATGCGGTGGCAATACAGCAAGTAGCTGAGGAGGACCAGTGATGAAATGCAATTTGTACATGCACGAGAGAGCAGCAACAGTCCGGCGGACAGCCAGACTGGGGAGAATTGCACCAGGGCCAATGATGCACAGTGCGCGGCGTTGAACATTATCCAGACGTTGGATGTGGCTGGCTGGCGCGCCCATCCACACAAGCGGGGCATACTCCATCAGGGGCCTCACGAATGCCTTGTAGACAGTCGTTCGGCCAGCTTGTGTTAGAATGTGGGCCGCTCGTCGGAGAAAGGCGAGGCGCTGCTGGGCGCGAATGGTCACGGTCCTGAGGTGACTAGCGAAGGACAATTTGGAGTCAAATCGAACACCAAGCAGTGATATGCTGGTTTCCTCCGGTACAGGGGTACCACCAAACAGGATTTGGGGTAGGTCTAGGTCAGTGCGTCGGAGGGTAGCAGTCATAGCCTGTGACTTGGTGGGCTCGAAAGACGCTTTCCTCACCAAACGCCAAACCTTTCCTAGAAGTTCAAAATCAAGCCCCTTAATCAGCTAAAGCTGCAGCCGCTACGTGCTTAGCGAGCCCTGACCTGGCCGTAAGGCGTTCCTAGCGAGCGGAGATGGCTCGTAATACAACGGTGTAGCTGTCACCCCTGCCCATCTCTCGGATGAGCAGGAGGGCGAAGACGATGGCCAGAAGCTGCACTACGGCTATACCCACAACTGCGCCGGCCCATTCCTTCCAGTGGTCGGTGAACGCATCGAAGACTTTCTCTTTGCAACCCTGCTGGTACAAGCCCTTGATCGTGTCCTTGTCCGCGTTGCACGATGCCGGGGTTGTGCCGCCACGATTTTTGTAATCCGCAGGCCCGTGGATAGCGCAGCACTTGAACGTGTGCTGGACATTGTCCCAGCTGGTGATGATCTTGCTGCCGTTCACGCTCATCTTCTGGTCATCTACGTACTCATTAAGTGTCTTGTTTAGGTTCATGTTGATCTTATCGTCGAGCTTTCCACGATAGTGGTGGCCAAGACCGCCGGCGGCCACTTCCGGAATGAAGATCAGAGCAACCAAGATGGTGAAGAACACCAGGCAGTCGCGGTGCTCTTTGCCAGCGCCGATGCAGCCGGGTCCGCCCAGCAGGGCGATGAACACGCCGACGGCGATGCACAGCGAGCCGAAGCTCTCCCACTGCGACGTGCCAGCGTCAATAATGACCAGCGCCGAATCGTAGTCGCCCTGCTTGATTCGCGCGTAGATGCCGAAGCCGAGCACCACAATCATGAATACCCAGGATGAAGAACAAGAAGTTGAAAAGCGGTGTAAAACACCATCAGGTACTTCAGTACCGTTCCACAATTTTGGACTCCCATCTTGGCTGGGGCGTTGAGCGATGCAACTGCGGCTGTCTAATCAGACCTAGCTCGTCACTAACTATTATCGCTGGGCTAGATAGTGAATGGCTTCCAAAACCTTTAACTGTAGTCCATAACCATGACGACCACGGCACAATACAGTGAAAGAAGAGTCGGAATACGAATTGCAACAATCAGGATTAGCTACCAGATGATTGTACACTGAAGACTTTCTCCTACAGATCCTGTGAAAACTCATCAATTCGGAGTCACGTGACCTGTCATCGACTGTTGTCTTGCGCTTTCGCGTCTCCTTGGCTTCAAAGAGCTTCTTTGTGCGTGTGTGGGCGGGGATTCGTTTGTCCTTTTGCTTTTGGAAAAGATTTCTCATCCATTTTAGGGATTCCATGAAAAAGATGAATATAATGTGTGGATATTTTCTCTTTTGCCGGGCTGCAGCTTCGGTGTAGTCTTGTGGGAGATCTCCACACGTCAACTTCCCTACGCACACCTGACCTGCTCGGAGTACATCCATCAAGAGATCCTGGATGGCAACACGCCAGTCTTCCCTCCTACCACTCCCTACCCGTACCGTCATCTGGCTGAGAAATGCATGAGCGACGTAGCACGTGACCGGCCATCCTTCCAGAAGATTGTTCAAGAGATCGAAGCTTTGGAAGTCTTGGATGGCCAGAGTATAATGTAGTGTCAAGTTCTCATCATTTTATGTTCTCTTTTGTTGCTATTCGAGATGGCCCACACCCCCAGCCTGTTTCACTGTTATAACGTATTGACGCTGGTAAACGCGTCCGTGCAGGTATTGTCTTGTACAATATTAATATTAAATTTTGAATAGAGCGCTTCCCACCAGAATAGGTGAATTCATGTTTGTTTCCAAATTCTTTTAAAATGTTCTGCTACTCCATCTTTCTACAGTTTCCTAGATGTATTGAGGGGGGGGGGGGTATGTTGTTTCTTCCTTGTTTTGTTTATTGTGTGATACGTGTTGCAGTACCGTCATGACCCTCCGAATAGTAATCTCTTGAGTATTATAGCACCCATTGGTCAACTGCGGTTCTAACCTAGATTTGCTGCCATTTGTTTCCGAATCATCCCATAGTTGCTGCAAAATTGATTCTAGCTCTATTGTCTCGAAATGCAAAATGCAAATTGTAGCAGCCTGGCCTCTCCGCTAGTATGCTGGTACATGTACACGTGTAAATTGCACAGCTTTTCTTTGATGCTATCAGCTCTTCCACTGACCATCATGATTCATGACTGAACTTGCAGTCATGTGAAGATTGCATTCAGCGTATAATTCAGTGGTTTTTTTAGATGAGGATTTCTGGATCGTTCCCCAGCTCTGAATGTTCTATTCTTGATTCTACAAGTACGAATGTTGAGACTATAGGTGATAGAAAGTAGCTGTTATGAAATCAACACCGGTTATCCATTGCTTCAGAATCATGATGGCCTCACCTTTCATCTGGACAAAGACCTCTTTTACGGGCAAACAGAATACAATTGACAGGGCTAGGGCATGGCGAATGATTAGAACACAACATCAAAAAATGATTATGGTAATACTACCATGTGAGTAAGACCATAATTATGAAAGTGGTAGATTGACGCTTGAGATACACTTGGCTGGGTTTGACTTGCCACTCTGCAGTAGGCATGTTCTATCCACCGCCTGATATGGCCATTACCACCGTATTAATCAACCAAACAGAATACAATTCAATTTTTGGTAGAGTGGTTATCGCAGTAGGGACCATTCAACACGTTCTTCACACTTCAAAAGCCAATGCTTCCTCTGTCACTTCATACAGTATCGTGTACAATGTGCGTGTATAGACAACAGGAAACGTGCTGCTGTGCACTCCGATCTAGACATTATCAGATGCTAACAGTTGGTATGCGTTGTGGGTCATTCATTCCTGGCACACGGATGTAGAAGTCATGCACGCACATGTGACTATAGAGACTACAGCGTACACTGTGATGGGTTTATTCAGGTCATATGCTGAATACGTACGCGAACAGAAGCGAAATGAAAATGTATTGCCGTAACTTTGCGTTTCACGCACAAGCAGACAGTAAAGCATACAACGGGCTACTCGCTCGAAGTGCGCAGCGGACACATGTGCAGTGTGATTGCATAGGAAGCTGGGATAGGATAAGAAAAGTGACAAATACAAATGCCTACTCCACTTCCACAAGTCTTTCAGGTAGAACCTGTCGCAGGTGGTCAGAAATAGTTTTGTGTCTAGCGCTGGGCAGTCAGTTCAGTAATATGATCCGAATTCTGCCCAGTGACCTGAAGATACAGACAATTAGAGCAGTTTAGAAATACTTTAGAAGTAGACACTGGATTACGTGATCCATTGCAGCTCAGTGTAACTCCCTGAGAAGACCACGATTTTCCGAATATCGCCTTGAATTGCCGAATCCCGCAAGGAACAAAGCTTTTTACTGTGGATCTACATCTCACACGTTTGAAGGCGTCGTCATCATCATCAATAAACACATACCTAGACCTGGTGAGGAAGACTCAGGTATGGACGTGCAGCCTGCCATGATTGCAGTGTTGTGTGTACTGGTGATGCTATGCATGGCAAGTGGAAGAGCTGAACCTGATCCGTTACCTGAATCCCTAACAGCTATGTCTGCAGAACCAAGCACTACCCTTCTATTGTACAACGTTCATAAGTACCCTGAGGTAGGTGACCCTCTAAGGCCAGCATTCACACCGAAGGTGACTGTGTTTATCAAGGACAATGTTCACAATGACCCCAAGGAAATGATTGTCACCTTTGGCCTCCCTCACGCTGATAACTCCAACTGCTCTATTGTCGGTGTATATCTTGACACAAACACCAAGCTTAAAAGTTGGAAGAATAAAACTTTCTTCATTCATTCCAGCCGTGATCAGAAGAGATGCCAATGCAAACGGTCCATTCAGCCAGGCGTAACGGTATCACCGGACAGACGCAAGTTGATTTTCTATGGTTTCGGGGCAGCTGAGTGTGCGAAGTTCATTGTTATTTACGATGGTACTACCGCGACGACCAGTGTGCTGTCTGTAGTTGGTGTGAACGTCCCATGGGCATTTTCACCAGGTCTGGTCACTGTACGAACCATGACGTCATCAACAACATTCACACTCCTATCCTATGGCGGATCACATTGCGATAACGCAAGCAAAAGTGAATGTCTCCGCTTCTCCACGGGCGTCTTCCGACTAACTATCAATACATTAAACACATCAGCACCTGTGCGATGGGAAGGATCATCACCTAAGTCCAAACACAGTCCATGTCCAAGTCCCAGATCTAACCCTACTCTTATCAATCTCAACGATTCACACCTGTTGCTCTATGGTGGAGTGGAATCTGTTTCCAACTTCACTAAGCTACACCTATTGAACGACTTCTGGATCTACAATATTCATAAGGATGTCTGGCTTGAATTTTCATCTGATTCTCTACCCAATGACACAACATTGAGTCGTCCAGATATGATGTCGTATTATTACAATGAAAGAGAGGCTGCTTATCTCAGTGAATACAGAACACTGATTGTTGTGGTAAGGGTGCCATACGGTCCTTTACAACTGTATCTGTGCACGCTGCCAATCGGAGCAGAACGCCACATTCATTGCGAATTGAAAGGAGATGTGCAAGGTGTAAAAGCTTTCTTCCCAACTATCATGTTCTATTTTTCGCTTTGTACGGGCGCTGTCGACAAGTTCTTCATCGTGTTTTACAATACGGAAACAACGAAAACGTTTACTGTCGGCAAGGAGATACATCCCGCGAGAAATACGTCACAGCTGATGATCACACCTGTGTTTACCAAAAATATAAGAATACTATTCCCGGGTTTTCAGGGATGCATCACCAGTGCTACTGTGGCTGGTCCGGGTCACCAAGGCAGCACCAACCGCTTCTTATTTGTGGGTGGAACGTGCTACGACACAACATCGCGAGAGGATGAAAGGTTTTCGAGGCCTTCTAGCAAGTATTCAGGCGTTGTTTGGAACCTAGGGCTAGGGGTGGTTTATTCTCGAATCTCTGCCAGTCAAGTGTCTCCGAGCCCTGATCTGACGAGACACTCCTCCCACACACTCACTTCACTTGGTGAATCCATAGCGGTACTCTACGGAGGATACTATGGGGTGACTGGTACCTTCACATATACTAATATGACTTGGTGCATGCTAACCCATTACGACCCCTTGGCTCAAGACTTCTCTGTTTCCTGGCAACGCTTCATCACACCTACATCCCATGCCCAGTCCATGCCATTGCCACGAGGTGGCCACGTGGCATTTCCGTACAAGCCAGATGGCATGATAATTCAAGGCGGAAGTGCCGGGTCAGAGAGAATTTTCGGAGATTTATGGATTTTAAAGATCACAAGCGAGCGATCATGCACTGGAGAATGGATTGAACTCACTAAGAATGTTGTTGGGGAACGACTACCCCAATGCTCACACCATTCTGCGACACTCTACAACGATGACGTCATTATGTTTGGTGGGTATTGCATAGATAATGATAATTCGACAGGAAGTGGTGCTGGTGAAACATTCCTACAAATGACAGATCATCTGTTGGTTATGACTATCAAGAACCTGTCTTTCATCTCACTTAAACGCATCACTTTGTCACGTCCAATTTATATGCGCACGAGCCATTCCCTTTCACGTTACACAAACGATTCCTTCTTGCTCCTCGGCGGATTGGTGTACTCAAATTATGGGGAAAACACAGCAATAGAAGCACTCCTATTACAATTCATCGCAGACACCACAGTTAAGGTCATTTCATATTTCAACTTCACCATTTTCAACCATCATGTTATCGGGGAATATATCTTCTCAGGTTTCAGAAATGTGCAACCAGTCGAGTCACTGAACTTCCTACGACTGCGGAAAGGCCAATATTGTCCTGTTGGCTACGAGCGAACTGAGTACGATTCCTGTCAGCCATGCCCTCAAGGGTACTACTCGGCCACCATTCCACAGCAATGCAAGAAATGCCCAGGCGACTCGACGACGTCAGGTCCTGGAGCCGCACAGTGTACGACGATATGCACTGACAGCTTCTGTCACGGCCATGGTGAATGTTTGGTGGACCAGGGGAACAAGATGAATTGCAAGTGCAAATTCGGATATCTCCCTGATGATAACTGTCGGACACCAACCGTTTACCTCTCTCAGTTGGCAGCCGTTATTTTCTCTTCCGTACTTGTTTTACTTATAGTATTCCTAGTAAAATTTACCAGAAAACGCCGCGACTTGCGAAAAACGGAGAGAGAGCTCCAGGCCAAACACCACGATCTGCGAATTACTCAGAAAAAACTTGCAGAATTGAACCGGGGAGCGCGACTTCGATGGATAGACTTGACCATTGGCAAGCGAATTGCTTCTGGTACAATCAGCAAGGTGTATCGTGCCCAACTGAGTGATATGGAAGTGGTAGTAAAGAAACTTCCCAAGCGCTTCAACCAAACACGATGGCGTGGTTCACCGTATGATGTATTTCTGGAGGAGGCCGAGACCCTGCGATCCTTACGCCATATGAACGTTGTCATCTTCCTCGGTGCTGGTCAGGACAATGCAGACGGTTGCCCATTCTTGGTGATGGAGTACTTGCGGCGAGGCTCACTCTACGATAATCTGCATGATCCAAAAGTTCACATAGAAACAAACGATCAACTGCGATTTGCTCTGGACATCGCTCGTGGTATGCGATATCTGCATAGCTCCAGTCCCCCACAGATTCACCGTGATCTAAAGAGTTCAAACCTATTGGTCAGTGACAAGTGGGTGGTGAAAATCGGAGACTTGGAGTTCACCAGATACCTTTCTCTTGTGGAACGTGACGACCAGGCACAACCAAGCCAGGATGACCATACTGCAGCTGAACGGAATGCTACATCAGACAATGCTACAGTTGCAGATGGCACGACAGCTATTGGGGAAGGGGAGAGATTGCCCAAAACACCCAGCATAATGACGTCCACAGACACGTCGGACTCCAGCGAGACGGATGACGTCACAATCCCGCTCCTGCACAATGTGAAGCCCTCGCCATCTGCACAACTGATCAACACCAGTACGACTAGCCACCAAGACGTATCTCATGAAGGAGGAGACACAGAGAGCAGGTCACATGACCGTTTCACGGCCTCACAGCTACCATCACGTGTTGGCATGACGTGTGGTGTAGGGACGGACAGGTGGAGGGCTCCGGAGACGCTCAGCAAAAACAGCTACACGGAAAAATCTGACGTGTACAGGTAAGCATTGGGCCGGTTGTGTGTTATGCTTTCTAATGTTTCTTCTAGTTAAACTGGATATTTTTAAACTGAATTCCCGAATGCTCCACCCGTACACCTCCATATCCTACGCATCACAGCAAGCTCTCAGCTCCTTGAATCGTAGTTTAGACCGTATTGTCCAATGGTCTTGCCAGTATCGTCATCGACATGCATGAACATCCACCTACGTCCATCACAGCTGAGACTTTCAGCTCGTGCTTATCTTGGTTGCGCTCACCTTTCCCTGCTTATTTCTATAACTTTGAACCTTCCAAGTTGGAAGGCTGTTGGAGTGCCGCGCATCCAAGATGTGCTAGAGCTGCTAGCCAGTTAGTTGTAGAACGGCAGTACCGTTGGTCAGTGTCGTGCAATGTTATCGCATGAGCTGATTGTTTAGTAACTGGTGGTGTTAGTGGACATTATAGCGTAACTTGTAGTTCCTTGGTACTTTTTTTCTTCCATAAATTAATCCTCGGCCAAAAGAAGAGAAAACTATCTCCGCACACTATTATTAAATTTGTATACGTATCACACTGTTGGAATGCTTATTGATAATAGGGAGGTTCTGCTCTACGTTTCGGGAACGCGATGCAAAGAATCACGCGAACTCTCTTCACGTTCCCGTAATTAAAGAAATCCAGTTCTGCTCTACGTTTCACGTAGAGAAGTCACGTGGGATGTGTACTGGGAATTTCCCCTTCCATATTTGGCAGTTTTCTGCCTGCACTCGAATGCTACCCTGCAGATCCGTACGCATTTTCTCTGCGTGTGCCACAACGTAGAGAACCTCATCTCCGCGTAGAAATCTGAACCCAAAACACGCGAAGCCGTAGACTCTAACCCAGGCACCTGCTCTCTACGTGATTTCTCTACGTTTCACGTATAGCAGAACCTCTCTACTGACATTCTTGTGTCACGTGATGCAGTAGCTGAATAATCCATGAAGATATGATGGGTCGATATCCTGTATCCTGTGAAAACTTAGGAGTCACGTGACCTGTCATCGACCGTTGTCTTGCGCTTTCGGGTCTCCATCAGTCCATGGCTTCAAGGAGCTTCTTTGTGTGCATGTGTGTGGAAACTCG